AAGAGAAGAGTCAACATGAAAGTGCTCACCATAAGAAGGAACTATGCTGTGTGCTTTAATTCAATATCTCATTTACTGCATATGAACCCTGTGAAGTAGAGTCAAGTCCACAACCCCTATCGGAAACCTATTATTTCGGAATTCACAAGTTTTCAGATTTTAAAAAGTTAATACCACTCATAAAGCATATGCTATAAGGATAAATGAAGATTATAAACAGCCACACATCAATTAAGGAGTGGTTCTGCCATCAAATTAGTTCAGAACAGGTATTTCCATCTTTTAGTATAATAATTTGTAACTACACTGGAATTTTAGAATCAAAGATCTGTGAATGTTTATATATTTTTCCTCATATAACTAAGGATTTTTGTCACAAAATTACTCAAATGACTCCGTCTCCCTAAATTTCAAGAATTCATTTTGAAGAGTGAGCAAGATGTTTTTCTCCCTGGTAATCATATATTCCATCCCTAGAATGGAAGTCTTAGTTACCTTCTTTTCCAGAGAAAATTAATAGTGATATTTAAGTACAAATTCCAAATTGTATTTTGCCCTTTTTATAAAATGACACATTTGTTTTAATGCAGGCAACAAATTCAGTTGAATCTACCAACTTAAAATATTACTTCACTTCTAAAAGAAAACAAGTATAACCAACTTTGAGTTACATCAAAAAAAAAAAAACTCATTGTCATCGAGTTAATTCCGACTCATAGCGACCCTATACGACACAGCAGTACTGCCCCACAGGGTTTCCAAGGCTTTACAAAACAGACTGCCACATCTTTCTGCCAGAGAGTGGCTGGTGCTTTCAAACCGCCGACCTTTCGGTTAGCAGCTGACTGCTTAACCACTGTGCCACCAGGGCTTTTACATACAGTCTCAGTTTCAAGAAAGACTATGACCAGTTTTACATTACAATTTGAAAATTTTCCTCAGTATTATTAAAACCAGAGTCTATCTTAAACTATCCCAAACAGGTGCATTTCACAGAAAGTACAAGGATAACTTTATCCACATATTTCAGTGTACATTAAATACAGAAACTAAAATCAAGTATTTAATAATGATAAAATATAAAATTAGGAGACTTAAATATTCAACCACAATATGGCCAAGTTTATATACAGAATTTTATATCATAAATATGGGTTCAATAAGGAGTATATGATTTCTGTGAAAAAAATATACTTTGTCTTGATTACTGATTTGTCCTTGCTTAAAAATATTTGGTGGTTAGATTTAAGAAACGGAAATCAATGCTATGATAATATTAATGACAACTTAATCTAATACTTCTAGTAAAAATTAGACCTCATTACTAATGAGTTACTAACTGAACAATTATCTTAGTTTTCACATTATAACTTCATTACAGCACACTAGTCACATAATAAAAGTTAATTTATAAACTAAATTTTCTAAAATAAAAATAAAAATTTTATTGACTGAAATGTACTTTAGCATAATCGTCAAGAGCAAGAACTTTGCAATGAGACGTCCTGGTTTAAATCCAGGTTTTGCCACTGACTATTTAGGTAATTTTTGGTGAGTTACTTAACGTTTCTGTGTCACTCTCCTTGTCTTTATCACCCGTCAACTTGTACAGCAACCGTGATTGCTACATGATCCAGTGAACTACCTTTAGTGTTAATGTTTGTCGTTCTTAGGTGCCATCAAGTTGATTTTGACTCATAGCGAACTCCTGTGACAGAACAGAACTGCCCCATAGGATTTTCTAAGCAGTAATCTTCACGGAAGGAGTCCTGGCGTACAGTGATTTAAGTGCTCGGCTGCTAACCAAAAGGTCGTTGTTTTTAACCCACCAGTCGTTCAACAGGAGTCCATACAGACTACAGCCTTGGAAACCCTATGAGGCAGTTCTACTCTGTTCTACAGGGCCAATATGAGTCAAAATCAACTTGACGGCAATGGGTTTTTGGGTTTTAATCTTTACAGGTGCAGAACCACTAGGTAGATTCGAATCATCAATCTTTAGATTAGCAGCTGAGCCCCTAACTGTTGAGCCACCAGGCCTCCTGATTTTCTCATCTTTAAAAGGGAATTACAGTATCTACCTCATAGGGTTGTTGTGAGGATTAAATGAAATGATGTGGAACTACTCCACAGAGTGCCTGGGACGTGGTATGTTCTATGTAAGCATTTGCTATTACTGATATTATTAAAGCACCTTTAAAATTATAACACATCTATATTAGCACTTTTTACTGTTAGGAATTTCTCTTTTCTCCAGTTTCCTGAATAACTTAAATACACTAGGGAAATATTTGAAGAAACCTTAAGTCACTTTAATAACTATCTACTAATAATTCAAATATTTACATATTAAGTCTCTTTAAAGACAGATTAAGGTGAGAATAAAACCAGGAATATATTCTTTCACAGTTCCTAACTTCATAATACTAAATGACAGTCAGTGATACCGTGTTACATATACAACAATGCCCTCGTCTAGCGCAGCAAGGATCAAATGTATATTGATTCTAATCTCATACAACTGAAATACATACATACATGCATACAATTTCACTTTCTAATTTACAGTTGCTTGCGTTTAATAACTTAAAAATGAAAACTCTCTGGACCCTTCTAGTACATGTTATTCAAAGAGCTGTAATAAGGAACATATAGCAAATTTACTCAGTTATATGACAGCTGCTATCATCCCCAGCCCACTATCAATTGTTTAACTACCAATCCTTTAGTTTAAAATCTGTAGAAGCATTTCCTAATGGTTCACTGGTGGTATTTACCACCTAAATTTAAAATACAGTAAGTTCCTCAAGGTCAAGATCTAACAGTAGAACAGACCAGCTGCCAGTTCTATTTCTTAATAACAGATTATGACCATTTCATTGTGCTTGACAACTAGATACCTTCCAGTGAAAACGTTCCCTGGAAATGAAACTACAATATTGTTACTGATTTAGAGAGCAGGGAGTCAAGAAAAAATAGCTCATTAGTAGTGAATGGGTGTGGAAGACCAGTAGCAGTAGAGGATTGAAATGCGGCAATACAAACAGGCTAGGAACTGTGAAACAGCAGCAGTAAAATAGGGATTCACAGAATGAAATTTCTGCAACACAAACACAGAGACTTAAGTCTGCACTTTCTCTTTTGAAGTAAGCGCATATGCAAGGATCAAATGTATATTAGTTTAACTTTATACAATCAAAAACCTGCCAATTTTATACAAATAAAAAATAGTGATAAATTTAAAAGGGACACCCCCAATTCTGGCCCTATTTCTCTGTTCTATAAAGCACTTCACAAGGAGAAAAAATACCTTCAGACCATAAATGATGAATGTAACTATTAGGAGTGGCCTCTCTATGAGGTCTGAAATAGAAGGAAAATGTATATTTCTTCCAGAGTTGTAGCCAAAAACAACTTCTGCATTCTGAATCCAGCTTAGGCACATCGGTTGAGAAGATGTTTGCGAAAGTATTTAATACGAAAGTGCTGAATTTAGCTTTTATTTTTTCTCAGTTTTCCTAAATGGCCTGCAGTCCATCAAATTCACTAAGTAGAACCTCTCCTAAGTATAAATGACAAAAGGAAATACCACTCTACATCTTTCTTCTTACAGACAGCAGTTTCTACAGATCAAGAGTCATCAAACTTTTTCTGTAAAGGGCCAGATAGTAAATATTTGGGCCATATGGTCTCTCTCACAAATACTCAACTGCCGTGTAGCATGAAAGCAGCCACAAGCAACAGGTAAATGATTGGGCATGGCTGTGGACCAATAAAACTCTGTTTAAAAAACTGGCAGTGAGCCTATTGAGCCCATGGCCATAGTTTGCTGACCCCTGCTATCCATCACCTGTTTTTTTACCTACTTACAAATATATCATTTTAAAAATACCACGACATTTGAAATATGATGCCTGGGATTTGCTTTGAAATACTTCATATAAAAGAAAAGTAGATCATAAGGAGAAAGGTTAAATATGGTTATTGTTAGAGCTGGATAATGGATAGAGTTCATTTTACTATTCTCTTTAAATTTTGAGAGTTCGAAAAATTTCCAAATTAAAAATCTGGGAATCTATGACCTAAATGTTTTCATTTTTGTTTGAAGTATGTTCACCAAGCAACTACCGGGTATACGCTCAAACTCATTTTACCTTTGAAAACACAGTCATCACACAGTAGCTATCAATATACATAGTCATCACATACAAAGCTATCGATATACACCCTCAAGAGGAAGACACCTAAGCCTTCAACAGAAACAGAAAGCTGCCTGATAAGTCAGGAATAATGTATCCAGAGGAAAAGAGGAATTCTACTGTGTTGGTCCCCTTCTGCAGATAATTGTCTCCTGAACCAATAATAAAGGAAAACTAGTGTGCACCAGCAGACAGTAGTTCTAATAAATATGCTACCTTCCATCGAATCAAGATGTGCAATCTCACTCGATGCAAGAAGACAGAAACCAACCAGAACAGGGCCATAGGGAAGAAATCTTATTAATACTGTACAATTTCTCAAAGCCCGAGTGAATGTGTTTTAAAGGTTCTCAACATTTTCCCGGTGTATGAAATATAGTGATTTTGAATATTATCAAAACTAAATTAGGCTCATAGGATTACAACATTTGAGAAAAACTGAGAACTCCTCTGTGAAAACATTTCAACTAGCCAAGCATATAATCAATTTCAAAATTTTCTAAAACTAAAACAGTAATAAGCGATCCATGACACAGACTTGGGCAGATATTAGAGCAAAAACGTTTATGCGATTATTCATTCTACCTTTTATAAAGATGAACCAATATTCACTTTTATCAATTCATTACCACTGTAGCATTTTTAACTAATTTTGTTTCTTCTGCATAGCTATTTAAGATGTTATCAGAGACTATTTCAAATTATTTCCAAATTAAGTTTTATCAATTTTGTTATTTCTATAGTCTTTTCTTCAACAAGCATAAATTTAAAATAGAAATGAGATGCAGAAAACATACTTACATCATACTCTGCAATTCGACTGCAAAGCTTACAGACTTCCCTGTACTTCTTCCACTACTTGAAGTAGCAGTGGACACTGGGCTAGCTGCCGTATTATTCATCTAAACAAAAAACAGAAATAAAGCTTACAAAATGTATTTTAAATACAAATAAATACATGAAAAAAGCAAAAGCAGTTATAAACTCCTTCAAAAAGTATAAAAAAATTTAAATTTCTGATCATTTGTTTTATGTAAAACTGATTTATTTATACTTAGAGCTCTCTATTAAAATAAAATTTTAATAGACAAAATGAAATGATTTGGAGGATGGTGCAGGACCGGGCAGTGTTTCATTTTGTTGTACATAGGGTCGCTATAAGTCAGAACTGACTCGGCAGCACCTAACAACATTAAAACGAAACAGTAAAGTAGAAAAAAACTGCTTAGTCAGTTAGGGTACCAAACACTCACGTGAGTGATAAACATTTCAGTACCTATTTTGCAGTAAGGAACAGAAGAAAAATACTCATTAAAATATTTTAATAGAGCTTTGATTTTCAAAATCTGTTCTAGGGAGCCCTAAGGTTCACTGAAGATACTTGAGGGAGGTCCCACTGGCCCCCAAACACACACACCCCCAGTTTCATCTAGAACACCAGAACGACTCAGATTTTTCTCTTATAGACTGGGGTTCCAAGTAAGATTCCAATTAAAGAGTTCACCACTGTAAAAGGCAAAATTGGAAAACGACAGCATAACCTAATTCCCATTTTAACCAAAGCCTAAAATACAAATAAAAATAGAAATAAAGTCGATTAGTGGGTCAAAAGTAAGCACTGTGATGTTTCATAATCTTATGAATAAGTAACTCAATTTAAAACATAACATTTCCCAATAAAATTAAACTGATGCATAATGTGAAAACAAGATGTCAGTCCTACTGTATACCATTTTATTTAATGCATGTGGCAGTCCCACAAACTATTACATAGTAAGTGCTCAATAAATGTTATTTTATGTTTATATAAACTTTACAAAACCATAATTTTCCTTAAAATAAAAATACTTTGCAAATTCTAAAGAAGAATGTAATTTAGAACTAGGATATGATAAAATAAAGCTGTACTGAGAACTTCTAAGGAAGTACAAAAAACTAATTTAAGAGGGCAAGTTCTGGAGTCAGATTGCCTTGTAGTAGCTCTGCTACTTTACTAGGACCTTGGGCAAGTTATTTAACTTCTGTGCCTCAGCTTCCTATCTATAAAACGGGAATGATAATATTACCTTCTCAGGGTTGTTACCAGGATTAAATGAATTAATATATATAGTTTTCAAAACAGTACTTGGCACACAGTAAACACTCAATAAATGTTAGCTATTATTATAAACAGAAAGATGTTAAGAATTCTCCCTTTTTAATTTGCTAAAAGCTTTTATATGATAAATTTAGATTATATTTCACAATCACAAGAGTTTAAATAACTTGAATATTTTCACTAAAAGATCTCAAAGCAATTCAACATTAGGTAGCTTCCTTTTAAGTTCAATTTTCACTATTAACATCCTACTGCTACTAGTCAGCAACCCCGGTGGCGTAGTGGTTAAGAGCTACAGCTGCTAACCAAAACGCTGGCAGTTCGAATCCACCAGGCGCTCCTTGGAAACCCTATGGGGCAGTGGGGCAATTCTACTATGTCCTATAGGGTTGCTATTAGTCGGAATCAATGGCAACAGGTTACGGGCTACTAGCCATCCTAGCTTGAAGTCTCCATCATCTTTGATTCCTTCTCTTGTACTCTAAAATTTGGAAAAGGCCAAGTAAATTCTACTTTATGTTCTCACATCCTTCCCCTCTCCCTCTTGTTCTACTGCTATGGCCCCTCGCTCTCTTCGTATCTCAGTTCACTCGACATATTGCTGCCAATTTTACCTTCCTAATACATCCCTCTAATCTGACTACTCCTGTAGAGAATGGAGGCCAAATGAATACAGGGAACCTGAACGGAAGTCACTCACTAAGGGCTAGGATGGAAGGGTTGGGCTCCATGAAAGAAGGCTGAAAAAAAGCCACCACGGACCACTGCCTGAATGTAGGCCTTATATAAAGATTTTGAGAAGGCCGGACAAAGATCTAGAACAAGCAGCAGACTACCTGGGTGACTAGGTCTGCAATATCCCGATATCCCTCTGTGGCAGGAGCAACTAGCTGCCCACAAAGACTCTGCTTCTGGTCTGAGGACCCTAATGGCCAGGCCAAAACTGTTAGACAGAGAGTGCAAGAGCAGAGAAAAAAAAGTCCCCCCTCAAATTGAGCCTAAAAACCAAAATTCAAAAACACATAAAGAACCTAATGCTAAGGAACCCAAGGTTGAGAAGGGACAGTGTTGGCATGTCGTGGGGTTGTTAACCATTGTCATAAAATATGTGTACTGTTTAATGAGAAACTTTGTTCTGTAAACCTTCATCTAAAGTACAATAAAAAAAAAAAGACTGAAAAAAAAAAAAAAAAACTGAAAGGAAGCTTTGCAAAAAAAAAAGAACCTAATGCTAAGATTCCAAGGAAGAATCCTGATCAAGAAGGGGAAAATACAGAACAGAATTTCAAATTCTCATAGACTCCAGACTTTCTGGAGCCATGGAGGGTGGATGAACCGCTGAAACTACTGCCCTGAGATAATCTATAAACCTTGAACAAAAATATTCCCAAAGTCATCTTAAAAACAATAGTGTAGCTTAGCTAGTAAAAAAGGCCTGCCTTGAGCATTATGTTCTTTTAAGAACTATCTATATGGGATCAAATTAGAAAACCAACTCGAAAGATTGAAAGAACTTAGGGGACAGTGAGTTTATGTTAATGAAGGAGGAACAACTCAGAAAAGGAGGGTGAGAATGGTTGCACAACTTGATGAAGGTAATCAATGTTGTTATATGGGACATGTAGAAACTGTGGAATTGGTATATGTTTTGCTGTGTATATTCTCAACAACAACAAAATAAATAAAATCTGGGAAAATATTTTAAAAAAAGAACCTAATGCTATGAAAGACTATCACTTTTCTTAAGTCTAAATTTGTCCTATTTTTCCCCAAAGACTTTTAGAATAAGTATTGTGTTCTACAAATGGTAAAGGAGTAAAAACATTACCATTTTAAACTCAGGCAAAAAAAAGAAAAAAATCAACCAGTCCAAGACTAGGGGAAAAAGACAGGAAACCAAGGACTTCCAGTCCCTGTAGTCCTGCAGAATCCAGAAAAAGTGCTAAAAAAAAGGAATCTGGATTTCTCAAGGACCACAGAAAAGGCTTTCTCTGTTGTCGCAACAGTAAGACTGACAGAGGCTTCCTGGAGAAAATGTTAAACTCAAAAGATGAGGAGACATTGCTAGCCCTTTTCATTTTGCAAATCCAGACAGCCTGCTTTAACTCTCTCACCAGGAGACATTTCAGAAAGTAAATTCATAATAAAACCACAGCTTTCTTCAGTTGTTCTCCTAGTACAAATGTTTCACATCAAGAGTATTTTACTCGTAAGAGGAAAAAGGTCCCAATCCCAGTTTACTATAACCACGATCATCCTTTCACAGTCAAGTTATTTAATTTTTAAATCAAACAGGTGAACAGCATTTTTCTTGACATGATGAGCTGATAGCTCATTAGACTCTTTAAAATAATTATTTCCCTTGCCCACATTTTGTTTGATGATTTAGATAATTAACTTCTTTAGACATTAACTTCTTTACACATAAAAGTCGTATCATTCCAATGCTTTATTTCCTTTCTTCCAGACATTTAAAAAAAAAAAAGTCGGTTAAAAGCAGAAGCACTCAAGTCAATTTTCTCTAATAAATACAGTTAACATGGAACTGAAAACCTACTGTAATCTTCTCAATGGGTTAATGTCCTGCAGTTGTTTTAGCTTTCAATCGAAATGCAGCTGTTTGCCATATTTTGCAAAATGAATTCAGATGTGCAGATTGGAACCCAGATTATTTCAACATGCCACAGTTTAAATGTGAACCTGAAGAATAAGTTCATTTCTGATTAATACTATTAAAAACTTATTAAGCCAATAGCCGATACTATGTCACATCTGTAAAACTGTTTCAGAAAGAAAAGTATGACATTTACATTTTAATTTAAAACAATAGAATTTAACTATGTACCCCTTCCTTCAGAAAACACTACTACAAAAATAAATTTAATTGTATTAAAGTTATAAATCACAAAAAGTTAATTAAACAAAAATATAATGAACATGTTGCTGAGTTTTCTACTTGGACTCCATTATTTTTGATGACTAAATGTCCAAAGAAAAAAATACCATGAAACATTCTTTATCTTAAAAGATCTGAAAACTTTATTACTAGTTACTAGTAATAGCACCCTCAAAATAACAAAATCTGTATTGTAAAATCCATTGGTCTACCCATTTATTAAAAGACAGTGGGATTTTATCTCATTTCTATTATATCATGGATTTTATCTCATTTCTATTATATCATGGTTGATGAAAATTAATTCAGACCTATGTACTGAGTCAGACCATCTACATAGTGTCCCAATTCTAATCTTCATAACCTGAACATCCCACATAACAGACACAGAAAACTGTTATAATCAGAACATTTTCATCTTCATAAAACTCCAAAGGCAGGAAGCAATTATGGTTAAGCCAACACTATTATACACTGTATTTTAGTTATAAGAAAACTCAAATTACATCATGATCTCAATTTCTCCTGCTGTGAAAAATAATACCAAATGGTCATTCTAGCACTGAGAATGCCAAAAAATAAAAACTTAAAGTGTACAAAATTCTAAACATCTATACCTAACTTTTAGAATAGCACAATGATAATGCCAGTATATTAATATATGCCCCATTTCAGTAGACTTTGAAAGATATAAAACTATTCAATCAACTATCTGCTGAGAGAAGTAATACGAATAATCCAAAGAACAGATGATTCACATACAATTTATGTTTTTAAATCAATAGCAATTTTTCTGAAACCCTTACTAATTATATGCTTCATAACTAAGAAAGAATCATTTTTATTCACTTAAAAAAACCAAACCAAACTCGTTATTAAGTCGGTTCCAACTCATAGCAACCCTATAA